TTTAAAAAATAATTTGCATGAAAATGTAGGCATTTTTTTCATATATACTTTCATATGATTGTAACTCTATATTCAGAGGCAATAATTTAATATAATAAAGTTATAACAATTAACTAGTTCTAACTGGTCTGTGATTTGGAAGAAATATTTGATTTTGTCAGTCCTTTAGCTGGGATGAATATATTTAGATGCTTTTTGGGACTGATTTTATCTTCTACGGCATATCAGTTCATGCTTTTATTTTTTTCTGCAATGAAATCTGTGACTTTCAGCTTTACCAGCAGTACTAGGAACATTACTCCTCTGATGAGTTTGGCACACAGCAAGACTGTCCCAGAAAGTTTCTATTAGGCATACTGATCAGTTTGGAAATAACAACTACCTGCCTGAGGTCATTTAGGTGCTGAGCAGAGCGGCTGTTGGAGACCAAGCCTGTTATTTCCAGTTTCTGGATTCTGTATACTTCTCCAGGGAGAAGCAAACTAAAGTCTGCCCCTCTGTGTGTACCAGAAGTTCTCAGTTATTGAAGCCTAATGTTTTATTAAAGAGTCCTTCCATCCACTTCAGAGTTACTGGAGTTCTACCACAGTAAGAACACTTGGGTGATTTTGTTCCATTTCTCTGTGCTATCAGCATACACACCTCTCACCTCTGTTTCAGTGAAGGATTATAGAGCACTAAACATTGCCCAAAATGAGATGCGCTGCTGCAACTGAGAGAGGCTATCCTCCTGCTACAGACTCAAAGTACTACTGAGGGCAAAAGGACTGATAGCAGAGGCATTCAGGGTTGTAAAACCTCCGAAATTTGTTAATCTGATAAAATGCTCCTGCAAATTCCTTACTATTGCAAAGGGGCCAGCTACAGCTCCCTAGGGGCACCTTTATCTCTAAACTCCAATTCAAGCCTCTCATAGCTGGCCTGGCTCAAACTGCACACTGTACTTGGACACAAAAGTGGAACACTGCTACATTTAGAAACACACATATATAAAAGGACACAGATAGAGAGGAGTCTGAGAATCAAAACATACTTCAGGGAGGCACAACATTCAAGCTGAAAAGGGGTTCAGGTTTTAACAGGAATCACCCTCAAGGAATGAGGAAATTCCTCAAGGACTGAGTAGCCAAATTTTCCCCTCTTAGCCATGTTTGAAGCTATTCTGTTTATGAAGACTATTCTTTAGAGCCATGAAAAAAGGACATGGATGGAAGGTCATGAAGTTTAACATAACTAAAGGACTTTAACTGCATTGGGAGAGGCTGGGGGGAAAGACACTGGTAGCAGGCATCCTCAGCCTTCACTCTGCTCAGACATATCATTAATAATATCAAAATGTGTACTGACACAAGACAATATACTCCATGTTAGAGCATCCCATAAATCAATCTGATAACAGAAACTAGCTTGGACTACAGCAGGTCATTTACCAAAGAGGGTGTCTTAGTCTCAGGATGACAGCAGAGCTTCAGTAACTGCACAGAGCTCTTATCAATGTCTGAATTAAATTTATGATGCTGTTCTTGATCTGTACAGCTCTAAATTACATGGGATTTGTCTAAGAGACCACATGTCTCCTGTGCCATGCTGCCACAGCTGCTGTCAGCAGAAAGACTCATGCCAGACATGTTTGGTATTAAAGAAGGGGGAAAAAAGTGAGTTGTCAGCAGGACTGACTCACTGGGGACAGGCTGCTTGGCAATTTACTCCCACCTTTAGTTTGAAATATCTAAAATCTATTGACCCTTAAAGTGGGCTAAAAGGTACACTGCTTTCTTGGGAACACAACCATGAGTGATATTTTTAGACACATCTGAAAACCATGCTTGTTTTCTAACTCCTGATTAACCCTTTTGTTAGAGATATAAATCAGATGGTAATCTGAGGTCTTCATCTTTTAAGACAATGTCCTTTAATCCAACAGAATAGACACATCTTCTTAAAGCGAGACTTTAGATAGCATTATAGGAAAAGAATAGCATAGCATAGGTACTTTTAGAGCTCTTTATCTACAGAGGGGATGACATTTATTTTGTTAAAAAATGCTGGCCTTTCTTCAGTTTAGCTTGGTAAAGGATACAAATATACATGTATGCAAATACATCTTACCTTGATGAGACCTCTGAGCAGGACCAAAATATGTCTGCTGTTAAACTTAATAGACAACTATTACCCTTTAAAATCATCTTTTGTGCTGCACTTTCTCACCCCTAATTACTTCAGTTAATTAATGCTAGGATTCAAGCTTTAGTGGCAAATGTTAAAAAAGACAAAGCTGTTTCACAGAAGGGGAGGAGCCATTTCAGAAACTGAGTATCACCTAATGGGTACCTAAATCTGAGTTAAGCTGTATTTTGCAGTTCCACAATAATGCATTCATATTTTATTGTAGTGACAAGGCTGTATACCCAGATTCTAGTACAATTGCTTCATTTTTCTACCTTAGTACAAATTAGAAATAATGATTCTTTGGGGAAAGAGAAATTCTTCTGAGGAACCACAAGGGATATTCTCAAATTGCGGCTCTGTAGTAATTATAACAAGTCTTTTCTTCTTACACAGAAACCAAAAATAAAGAAAACAGATAACAACATTTGTGAGCATCTGAAGAATTGATTTATTATGTTATCACCTATAGCACCGAGTCCTCATATATTCATATTATGGTCATTAGCATTCCACAACTAGATCTTTTCCCTCACTCAGCAGCAAATCAATTGTTTTCACATCTGCTTGTAACTCATATTTCCCCAAAGGATTTCAGTGATCATATTGTTTTTCCATTTTCCAATGTACTGCCTGACCTTTTCCCTCAAGGTCTTGCACAATTCACTTTAGTCAATCACTTGTTATTGATTGTTAGCACTTACTCATTCCCTGTCTATTTTTTGCTTTAATGAATATAGGGGTATTTTTTTAGTGATCTTATTTTTAATATATCCTGTCATCCATTCACTGTTCTTTGCACCCTTTTTGCTTTAGATTTCTCATTTAGATATATACTTCAGTTCAACTTTCATTCCAGTTAAATTCCAAGCTAAAATTCCATCTTCTTTCAGTTTATCCTTTCTTTTGTACAATGCTTGTATATACAAAACAAACTTGAGCTTTCAGCAAGCCACTATCCACTTTAGACCTCAGCTAAAGTGCCATTCTTTTGGGAATTTACAGGGCTCTGACAAAAACTCTTTCTTGGTTTATAATTTCTCCCGAAACTTCTGTTCTGTGTCTTTCAGACAATTTAGCACTGCATACACTTGCTTCTTATTGGAAAGAAGCAGAGAGAAGAGACAGTCCCGGGAAACACTTTTTCACAATTCTTCCAAAGTCAGACCCTGTCTGTTTACCTGAAGATTCCCCTACATTCTGGAGGGCATAAATACTGGCTATTTCGCAGCTACCATCCTATATTTCTTGGCTTTGTAAAGACTGAGGCACTGAATCTAGGAAATTCCTATCGTTCCACTTCTTGGGCTACTTTCCCCTCCAAAGCTCTGCAGTGGTATCAGGTAACTGTTCCCTGTTGCATCAGTACAGAAGGAATGTTGACCATGCATTTCCTTACACTTGTTTGGGCATCAGCCATAACCTCAAATACAGGATACCATTACTGACAATGCCTCATTTCTAACTGGCTCTTTCATTCATCACAACAATGGATGATCTCTTTGGTCCTCTTAGCAATAACTAGACATCATTAACCAGCAAAGGCCACAGACAATCAGTGCTTTCAGGATGACTGCCGAAAGCTGACTGAGAAGGTCTGTTCAGGAAACTGCTGCAAAGATTTCAAGGGAAACTTCTGCTTTTAATGCAAGTCTTTGCTGCAAAATCCCCTAATCACTTTATTTCAATATCAACCATTTAGTTGGCAGTAAATTTGGACTTAAAGCTGCTCTTCAAGCAGCCATAAGAAAACAAAAGAAGCTTGGAGGACCTTCTCCTCAGTCTTTTCTTTTATTGGGATCTGTTTTTTCTAACCATTTCTAACCATTCCTGTCTCAAGTTCTGGAAGTAGCAGTGATGAATGAGAGAAATGGTGGTGTCAACTTATTTGGCACCTGGATGATGAGACAGAAAGCCTTCTTTATACCAACACACTTCTTCAGTGCACTGACCCATGGCACATTCAACATGGGACCAAAAGAGACATCCATAGAAACCTTGACAAGAGGTCTCTAGGGATAAACTAGTGCAGCTTTACAGCAGCTTTCTGCCTGAGATCACACCATTACATCCAAGATGCCAAGAGGCTTACAAAGAGACCCTTATCAGAATATGGATAGGGGTTGAATAGGAAAGAGAGCCACTAACCTCAAGAGTCCAGCAGCACAGAACTTCTATGCCAGGAATTCTGGAGGAACTTACTCATCCCTTTCCATTGGTAAGCATGCTGGTGCTATTAAGCCAATTTGCAGCAGTGTCAACCCAGAAATAAAGTTCTCTAAGTAAGAACTGAGGACAGGAGACATGCTATGTAGCTCTTCACTAAAAGCAGGTTAAGATTTTGCAAATCTGTAATTCCTGCTAGAACTTTTTATAAACTTTCAAAGCTACAGATAAACCAAAATGGCAAATGTCAACAGGACCTGAAGCTATGATGCAGATCTTCTCCCAGCCACTGGCTGTCAGTGAATGATGCTGTAAATGTGATGTGAGTAGGACTGATGTAAATGAAATTTTAAATCAGCTCTTTCTTACAAGTGAAACTCATGCTGGGAACAGGAAAGGAAAGGTCTTCATGTCTTCCTTTTTCTCTACACTGAAATCACAGTAAAAACCCTGTTGTATCTCCTCCCCTTTTCACACTCCTCACAAGATTGTGTGGGTATTGATGTGGGGGTGGATGTCTGAGAACAAGGCATGTTCCTCTACACAATTATATGCTATGGTAGGAACGGTTTATTGCCTTTCATGTCTAATGAGATGTAAGAGAACAAATCTAATTTTCTGAAAAGTACTGGTTTTATTCTGTGAAATGCAAGGGGAATTCAACTCACCATCTACAAGAACTGGTTCATAGATGTAAGACACAGGGTCTCCAGGATTTTCATCCCATGGTTTATCTGGGAAAAAAGAAGAAAGAAGATAATATCATCACACTGATTTCCATTTCTTTTTTTGGATGAAAATCTATATATATTTTGAATGTAAGATAAAGTTAATTATAGCTATTATTCTGCAGATAGAAAAAAAATAAATCATAGAACAAATCCAAGGGCTAATACAGAGGAACAAGCCTAGAGAGATCTTTAGATTCAACTGCATTTATCCCTTTTCAGTAAATGTCCCTTTGACTGATTTTTTTTTTCAGTTTACCAGAGCTGGTGAGAAATGTGCACTTGAGGAAGAAATTTCCCTGAAAGTCAATACAGCAAACAATGGGAGAGCAGCTGGGAATAAGGAAAGAGAATAGAATCATGTGCAGTGAAGTGATAATCTGAAATGGATGCAGACATTGCAGTTTGGAACACAAGACAAATATTCAGTGCTCTGTTTGATAATACAATAGATCTGGTTATGGACAGTATCATAGCATCATAGAGTGGTTTGAGTTGGAAAGGACCCTGAAGACATCTAGCTCCAACTCCTTAGCCACGGGCAGAGACACCTTCCACTAGACCAGATTGCTCAAACCCCATCCAACCTGGCCTTGAACACTTTCAGGGATGAGGCATCCACAGCTTCTTGGAGCAATCCATTCCAGTGCCTCACCACCCTCATTGTAAGGAATTTCTTCTTTACGTCAAACTTAAACCTACCCTCCTCCAGTTCAAAGCCATTCCACCTTGTCCTATTCCTGGAACCTTCTATACTCTGGGCTGAACAAAACTTGCTCTTTCAGCCTGTCTGCAGGAGAGGTGCTCCAGTACTCTTAGCATCTTCATGGACTCCTCTGGACTTGCTCAAACAGGTACATGGGTTTCATATGTTGGGAGCTTGCAGAGTTGAATGCAGCACTGCAGGTGGGGTCTCACCAGGGCAGAACAGAGGGGCAGAATCCTCTCCCTGGCCCTGCTGCCCACGCTGTTCTGGATGCAGCCCAGGATGTGCCTGTCTTTCTGTGCTGTAAGAACATGTGTTTATCTTCTCATCACCCAACACCTCTGTCCTTAGGGCTGAGTTCAATACATTCTCCACCCAGACTGTGTTTGTATTTGGGATTGCCCCTATATGTGCAGGACCTTTCACTTGGCCTTACTGGCCTTCATGAGGTTTGTGTGGGCTGACTTCTCAAGCCTGTCAAGGTCCCTCCAAATGGCATCCTTTCCCTCCAGCGCATCAACTGCACCACACAGTCTGGTGTCAGCAGCAAATTTGCTAAGAGTGCACTCAATGCCACCAAAAATGATGTTAAACAGCATGCAACACACAATCACTGAATGGGTCTGGTCGGAAGGGACAACTCAGGAAGGGCTCATCTGGTCCAAACCTCCCTGCTCAAGCAGGGCCATCCGGAAACACATGGCACAGGATTGCATCCAGACAGCTCCAGTGAGGGAGACTCCACAGCCCCTCTGGAAATCTGTTCCAGTGTTCAGTTACCTATGTAGTGAAGAAGTTCTTCCTCACATTTAGGTGGAACATCAGTTTCTGCTCATTGCCTCTTGTCCTGTTCTTGGCATCACTGAGCCTGCCTCCATCCCCTTGACACACTCCCTTCAGATATTGATAGACACTGGTGTTGTCCCTTCTCAGTCATCTCCTCTCAAGGCCCAACTCCCTCAGCCTGTGCCACGTAAGACACTGTATTAACATTTTCAGGACCAAGTTTTGGGCTCACAGCCTTTTAAGTAAGTACGCAGGGGTGCTACCAAGAGAAAATCTGATTCTATTTTTTTACTATGAACTTCAAAAGGTGTTATACTTCATTTTTTCAGGCATAATTTCTTTAGTCTGGACTGCAAAACAACACTTATTTTATTCCATTTCTGAGAAGATGGCACTAATCTAACAGAAGTAACGTTATGGTGAAATTGCAAATAGCAATTTTGCTATAACAACAGTTGTGTGCAAAAAAGTATACAAGGGGTATCTTTACAGAGATCTTCTCTAGATGCCTTCCCATGATAACTTTTCAGTAATTGTGACTGGTAACCACAGTGCAAGACTCAATCAGACTCAGTAATATATTACATGAAGGACATATAAGACTACAGATCCACACAGCCATTTTACAGCATTGCATGGAAAAATACTTGCTGGGAGTCTTAAATTATTTGTCAGCTTTAGAAACTGTCTCACAACTGCAATTAAATACTAACTGATGACTGAGCCATAAACAGTACATAAATTTGGATGATGTCCATTTCAAACCTTGAAAGAGCAGACTGAAAATGATAAATCCATTAATTTATTTTTAAAATAAAAAAATATGAACTAAATAAACAGAAGTAAAATTGCAGTATATTAAGTTAGTACATGCTGTTGCACTAACGCTTATGTTCTAGTCATCTGACTTTTATTATTAACTAAACTTTTAATGAGTGTCATAAATACTGCTAAAAATGCTAAAAGAATTCTAAAAAACTGCTAAAAATCTTTAAGATGCCAGTGCACTCACTTTTCTGGGTGCAATAATTTTTCATCCATTTACTGTCAAAAATAAGAGGAAAAAAACATCACATACATGACACACACTTAAGAATCTAAGGGTACAGGTTACAATGACTAGCTACACATATTAGAACATGAGCTGTTAAGAACCTAACAAAACTCACAAATAAATCCTAACAAGTAAAGTCTTTCCTGAATTTTGCAGAAAAAAAGGAGAACAAATAGCAGAGAAGTCAAACAGTTTAAGTGACAGGGGATGGTAGTCTCAGCATCTCAACTGGGGTTGCCACCTCCAGACAATAACTTCAGTTTCTCTTCTGCTTTGAAATAGCCAGGATCTCATGTCAGATGAAAGAAGTTAGTGACACAAACCAGTATTTTGTTGGCAGTCATTACCAACCCCCGTCACTGCACTGGCATCCCTTCTGTGTGGAATGGAGAAACACAGCATCTCAGGAAGATGTAATACTCTGGTAATTTTAGCAGTCCCTGCAGGGCAGTTCAAAGACTCATTGGCAGGGCAAAATGGAAATAAGAGCTATACTGCAGCACACACCAACTAACAAAATGTCCCTTCTGCTCTTGTGCTTATGATAGAGTCTCACAGATTATTTTGTTTTAAAAAAAAAAAAACATAATTGGAATTTGAGGTACTCTGGAATTAGCAGATGACATCACTACCTTAAAACACCAACAGTGGTATGCACTGTTTGAATGTAAATACTTTGGGGAAGGAGCAAACAGAGGCACAACCATGTGGTCTCTTTTATTGAAACCTCTCCTGGCAGTGACTGAGGCCAGAAGCACCCACCTACTTTCCTCTATTTACTCAGTCTTGCATGTTCAGGGGAGAAATCTTCACAACCAAGACTTAGGTCACGGTCGCAGACACACACACACACGCACACACACAATTTAGTATTCACAAACAAAAAAGACCAAAAATTCTAGTCATTTTCTTTCTTCTTCATCTTTGTTTTTTTTAGCACTCTAGCTTAATTTTCACATAGACTCCAAGTCAGTGTCAAAATTTAGGTGAATCACTTGGCCACTGAAGCCAACAATAAAGTTCCCACTTAAATTAGCTCATCCACACAAGTCCTGCTCACAGACTAAGGAAATCCATTGGCATTTATTACTTGTATTTTAGTGTCAGTGTGAAGAGGATTTTACAGGAGAACAAGCAATGCAGTGGAGTCAAAATGTGAAATATTACTTCAGTATTCAATGTTATACCAAATTACAATAAAAGGGAAGAAATAGATATCATGAAAGTTATGGCAAAAATATAATTATTTCTTTCTCTTTCCTGTGGTCTGCACAATGGAAATTACCCCCTCAGTATTTCAATTGGTATGAAGATCTGCATGAGTTAAGCCTTATTTTAACTCACAGCCTGCTTTTTCCACATTTACTTATTAGAGAAAAACACCCTATGCTAGTATCTCATTTGTCCATATCTATATCCTACTACTAGTTGCAAAAGTAGTTTTCTTAACATTACTCTTCTTAGTCATTAAAATTGAGTGCAGATACATGGAATACCTTTCAGTTTAGTAAACAATCAAAAATTAATGGCACATTGCTGTCTCAGGTAAAAGTTACAAATTTGTTCTGAAAATCTTTCCTGGGCTGTCAAAGACTCTGGGTAACATTTTCTACTTGGGTTATGTTACTTCATGTCTCTCTCACTTTTTAATACAATAGCAGGTAATGAATGGATACATGTAGATTTGATGAGTGGTACTCAACTATAAAAGTTTGTACAAGTAAATTCTCTTCATACTTTGGATGAAGTAAGAAAAAAAGGGATATTGCTGCTTGGGGAAATGGCTGCAAGTGGAAGTGACAAGAGTTGCTTTTGCTGAGCTTTAAAAAATGAAACCTAATAAAACTGCAAGCAGACTAATAGATACTTATGACTCCTGTGCTGTACCAAGAATTCCCACCAAAAGTCTAATAAAAGTGTCAGTGCACTTCAGAAACAGTGTCACAGAAAATTATTTGTATTAGATAAGACCTGCTCTCTTTTTGTGCCATTAATACGGAGGGCAACTACAGGAGAAATTGAGGACATTTAAGAATCTAAGCTAACTACCTACAGATGCAAATATCTATCCACAAATCCTTTACATAAACACATGCTTTCCTGAATTTGAAGCCTTTCAGGATTAAACAGAAAAACCCCAGTTATGTTTAGTACCCCAGGATACTGAATTAATACATTGAAAATATGCCAATTTAATATAAAGAAAATGTACACAGTTCAGCAGACCAAGAAACAAGTAGTAGAAAGAAACAGGAGAAGGGAAAGACAGATGCAAGCAAAACATATCTCCTGATTCTACTTGCAACAGGGTTGGGAAAGGCTGATAAAGAAAAGTCAGAATTCTAGAGTCTCACTGGGCCATCTTAGATGTTAACATAGAATAATAAAACTTCTGAGTGTTCTCCTCCTTCTCTGGGGGTTATCTTTTTCATGGCAATACGTACAGGACCTATAAAATTCAAAACCAACTTGGAATCTGAATGTGGCATTTTCAAACAGTGACATACTTTACAAACAAATCCCGCAAAAGGAATCTTTTGACAGCAGTAAAAATACTTGTGTTCCTCTTCATGCAGAAGATGAATATTATAAAGTCTGTCAGCATTATGGAAATATATGTTAGAAAGGTCACTCTCCATGTCTTAGTTCTCCCTTTACTCCTCCTAGAACATGTTCAAACAGGTATGACAAACCATTCAGATTTTGTGTTTGAACCACATTGCAGACAAACAAGTTCTCTGCTGAGTACAAACCCCCCTGCATCTTCTATTTTATTGAGTTTTACTCAATATTTTAATTAGTTTTGGTTTTGGCTAGAATTTTTGGCATATATACTACTTTAGAGCCAGAAGGAAGTTTTAACAGATAAATCCCTGTCTGTTCCAAGAAGATGAGACCAGCACCATAGGTGAAATAATTGTGGAGGTATATAAAACAAGACTTATTTTGCACTTTTTCCATTGCAGGTTGTAGGGATAGAGCAAAGAGAATAGCACCTAGGAGAGAAGAGCCTGCTAAGAACTTACCTTGCCTATGAGTTTTCCTGAGTATGGGGAAATCTGTAGTGGAAGGCACCTATGCTATACCACTGTTAACATTCTCCAAGAGAATGTTAAACTGTGAGATAACAACCTGATTAAGCATCCATCTTCAGCTGTTCTAACTGCCTGCAGGCCACTCCTGAGCCCAGGCATCCATTAATCCTGGGATCTCGATGGCCCATTGTCCTAAGGGATTAACAGAATTTAGCTGGAGTGGAAGGCATGTGGTAGGGCCATCATAATTAACACACATTATTAAGTTTTTAGACTAGTAGAGTGACAGTTCTTGTCAATACTGAGGAGACAAGAAGATACAATGGTTGAAAGAATAAGTTAAGAGTATTGAACAATTTAGCAGGAAAAAAAAAGGAAGTGAAAGCCACGAAGACGGTACACAAAAGTGTTTTCATCACTATCTCTAAAAGGGTCAAGAATATAAGGGTCTAGGGATGAGCACTGAAAACAAAAGGGATTGAAAACAACGATCCATATGAAGATAAATCGGAAATGTGTGTTTGGTCCTGATGAAAGGCAAAAAAATGTGCTCCAAGGGAAAAATAATCCTTGTATATACTAAACAACCTCTTAGCAAATGATTTTAAATACAAGGCGAAAATCTTCTTTCCCAAATGTGCAATCTGTCAAAATCCCTGTTATCACAAAGGCTAAAAGCTTAACAGACTTAAAAGACTATTATATATACAGACACCATTATCTTTAAGCAAAGGTAAATAGTGACAAACAATGCACATCTTCATTCCTCAGAGTTTAAATCAGCACTCAGATGAAAGCAAATCTCTTAGTTGGAGCACTGTCACTGTGCAACAGAGAGCAGATCAGAGGTCTCATATCAAGCACTGATCTAAGCAGGCCTGGCTGATGGCCAGGGCACACCACAAAAAAGGGCCAGAGCAGTTCTAAGCTGCAAGTGTGAAGGAGGGCTTAGCCCTGAAGCACCAGGCATCATCACCACTTCCAGACCTGGATCTAACTCAGTCCACCGAACTTGTCTGATCCTGGCCACAGTCTATGCATCCCAAGTAAAGATGTACACAGTGAGACTGAGGCCTTCAACAGCTGTTCATTAATTCAGCTTTCTCTTCATCTCTGAAGTTGCTGATATTGGTCACTGTCAAAGTAGAGATCATAAGAACCCCTACTGAACATCTGGCATTACACATAAGTCCCAAGGGCACAGGCAATTAAGTATTCTTGTGAATGCATTGACATAAGCAAACAACTTTCCTGTGTCTTCTAGGAAACTTTAATGTTGCAGAAAGGTTTACAATTTCCCGTGCATGCATCAACTGATAGAATCTAAGCACAGTTACTTCCTATATACATACACACAGAGAACATAGACCCACTGTTTTCATCCCATTAAAAAACTGCCAAGAAGCTTCAGTCTGAAGCTACATATTGGATACAGACAGAAATGGCAAACATTACCTTCTGAAACCAAAACAGACAACTGTAATGAGCCCAAATCATCAAGTCTGAGATATGTACTGACAAAAAGGTTATTCAGTACTGAAGAAAAGATGGCTGGGGAGAAGAGTCTAAAATGTTCTTTTGAAAACGCTGATCTCATAGATAGATTAGCAGACTGTGTGTATACATTTTCTGAGCAGGTTTTAAAGCCCTATAGTATACTTAAGCTTACCTGCTTAAGCACAAGGCAGCAGGGACATCCAGCTAGGTCACTCATTCAGATGGGGTCGCACTACCCCAGTGTTCAAAAGAATATTCTTGGTTACTCATGTGCATCCAGCACTAGGTTAAGCTCTGAGTAAAAATCCTGAACTGCAGGATGTCTTCCTCAAGCACAAGCTCCCATTCCAATAAAATGGCACCTTGCATGTAACAAAGACAGAAGCACAATATTCTGCTTGGTAGACAAAATCTTGCCTTAATAGCAAGTGCTGAGAAGAGGTAAGAGACCTAAGGAGTACAAACAAGCAGTAGTATATTACCTGGTTGAATAATTTCTTTAACAACAGAAATATATTCCTCAGGTTTCTGATCAGTAGAAATCTCTTTGCTGCCACCAGCTAAGGTCAGTATCTCATAAAGAATCTCTGAATTCTCCACTCCACAAAGCAGAATTACCACATTATCCGGAGGTTTTAGAACTTGTTCCAGAAAATAACTTCTCTTTTGATTCAGGCAGTTAAGAAGTCCACATGAGAGTATCAGGAGTTTACACTTATAAGAGGGTAAACAGAGTAGCTCCTGGTGCTTGAAAGATGAATTCTCTAGATCGCAGAGTAAGATTCCTTCTTTGTTCACTATGAGTCCAAAAAGAGATTTTAAATACAGAGCCCACTCTTCTGCTTCTTGTTCATATATCACAAGGATATCCTTTGTATTTTCTAAAGAAAACATAAAAAAAAAATTAAAATGTGTTTTAAATCCATTACAAATATCAGAAGACAGATGGTTTGTTTCCCACCCCTAGTAAAAATTTGAGGTGCTGAAGAAATTACCTTCAGCAGAAATCAGCTCATCACCTTGAAATGACAACTATCTCCTTATTTCTAAGACAAAGATAAAAAGATTGTCCACAGAAATACTGGAAAAATAGCTCAGGATATTATGTTTAAAATAACTAATATTTCAAAATATATAAATATTGAAACTGCAGTGTAGGAAGCAGAGTGCATTCACACAATTCTGCTCACTCCTAGAGTCTTGACAAATGGGTGATAGTATTAAAAACTGAACACTTAGCTTTTAATGACAGAAGTAAAGACTATATATTTGAATGCATGAACATGATCAGACTTGATTAGAAAATTAATTGGTATGTTTAGGATATTTTTTCAGCATGGTGTTAGGATAGTAATTCATGATCTTTCTTTACTGTCCTTATTCTAAGAAAATTGCTTGAGACCTGACAAAAATAAACATAGAACTCTATTTTTTTAGTTCTCTTTCCCTTTCAGATGTAAAACATGATGCTAGCAAGAAAACTAATACTCTTCCACAGCGTTACTAGGGTGACAGTTGGAGACAGAGGCAACAGGCACAAGCTTAAACACAAGAGGCTGCCTTGTGCATTGGGAAATGCATTTTTTTTTAGTGTGAGCACTGGAACAGGTTGCCTGGAGAGGGTGTGGAATCTGTCTCCTTGGAGCTACTCAAAAGGTGTTGGATATGGTCCTGACTCTAGATGTACAAGAGAGCTCCCAGATATCCCATCTAACCTCAGTCATTTTGTGGTTGTGTGAAACCATTAAAAACTGTGATTTGATGAGCAACTCAGTAACAACATACATCAAACCAGGGTAGCTTAATAGTCCCAGAGTGGTTCACAATCACAGCCCTGTGGAACAACAATATGAGGCTGAGGAACAGCCACAGCTTCTGCACTTCACCTCTACCTGTAGTTCACGGTGTCTGCCTGCTGGTCAGGGTCAGGCACCCTGACTGACACTTGCCTGTAGCTCACCACAGCTCCTTAGAGTGACTAAGCTGCACTGTGAGGATCAGGAGACATGGAAACAGGGGGCATACACAGAGTTAGAATGTTTTCGGGGCACACAAAGGATGTAGGCAGTGGGATGCACTGTACAGTTGTAGCTAAGGAGAATAAAAAACTTGTCAAGGATCCCACATAAGTCCACATATAAAAGAAGAAATGGAACCTATATCTCTAGTCCAGGATTAATGCTTAAAATATTTGTCTTCCCTTCCTTTTAGAAGAAATTCTTTCTACACTTTGTTCATCCATTCTTTACTCTGGAGATACTTGAAACAAAGTTTACCCAGAAAAAGCTGATTGATTGTAGAATAGGGACACTATCGTTTAGTGAACTTGAGTTCACTATATGTTCACAAACTGCTTGGAGGACAGGTGCCATCTTTTCAAGATTTGTGAATGCTCACCCTCTCACAAAGTTTTCTGTCACAGGAAAACATAAAAGGTCATGCTCAACATGGTAGCAGGTGACAATATTTCAAGTTAACTAACTCTTACCAGTACATTAGAGCAGGGAATTATTTGTCAAAATGTATTTGGAGAAGTGATTACTGTACTTCCCATGGTAAAAATAATCTGAAAAATACCCGTTTCTGATGAAATTCTGAAGGTTAATAGTAAAAGAAATAGCAGTGTACTTCTCATTTAACTCAGAGCAAAATTGTTTGGTTTATGATGCTGGGATAAAAAAAATCCAATTGCTGAAATGTCATTTTCAGAATCTCATCTGATCTTCCATAACATTCAGACAGACATGCACAAAGTAGAAAGAAAAGCTATTAATTGCTGCACAGTTTCAAAAGAAGAAACTGTATTAACAGTGCTGTAAAGCCAGAATCTCTTTCAGTCTGACCACACAGTTTCATATCACAGAAAATGGAACAAGCATGTACCTTCTATTTTCAGTCCTTACTTGTGGGGACTGACAGTGGTCAAATAAGAAATTTTTAGGCTTCAGGCACTAGCTCAAGCCTGTGGGAAAGTCAAATACACAGCTCTCTCACTCTGATCTGAGAAATCATAAGGAGGAATCCAAACAGTCCGTAGAGAAGGAAAACAACCTTTGCAGGTGTTGTTTGTCCCCTTGCTGTTTACCTGTAAGAAACGGTCAAGGGTGTTGTTCCTAACAGTCCAATGATGGTGATGTGTTGGTTTCATGGCCAATGAGAGTTTTATCTTTTTGGACCTTCTCAGATTTGTCTTTAAAAGAAGATCTGGAAGAATAAAACTTGCTCTCTTTTGCAACTAAGGCTGGAGAGTCTGTGTCATCACAGTTCCTAATACAGTGCGACACCTATTAACTAAAAGTACTGTAGTGGTTCTTTAAAAATATGGATATAAAGAAAATACTTACACCATAAGGAAAATTTTAGAATTAATTCTTTACACTTTGTTGGAATTTACTTAGTTCTAACTTCTAGCTGTAATATTATTTCATATTTTTCTGCAATCCTAAAGGAGCATCTATTCTTCTGCTCTCAGAAATCTGTCCCCTAAGGTCTTAAAGATGGGAATCTAAAAAGATTCCCATGAAGTAACTCTTTGCCTTGCCTTCATTACAGTTTGTAAACTGGGATTAATAATCCTCCTGCTACAATGAAGACATTATGGAACTCCTCCTAATTTTTTTTCTGCACTTTTGTGAACCCTCCTGCCTTTTCAAAATACTTTCTGAGAAAACCAGAACTGCACACAGGGTAAGGGTTCCTTATACAGTGCATGGGAAGAGAAAAATAACCTTGGGTATGCACATGGGCTCATAAAAAAAGAATTTCACATTCATTCACCCCTGCTCAAATGGAAAGTCCGAGGCCTGAGCACTCAAGAAACACTAAAGATAAAAGTGAGAAACATGCATTGAAAGGATAAAAGAAGACATAAAGTAATTCCACTTCCATACGGAATATCTGCACCAATCTGAAGCTTTGATCTTAGCTAAGCAGGAATGAGAAAGGGGTTTTATGATGTTTATTGAAGGCTCAACTGCATTTCTTCTTAACTCTATTGATTTTTATATATGAGAAAGAAAGCTTTATTTGTATAAGAAAGGGGAGTGAAATATATCTAACACCACACTTGATGGAATAAAGGCTCTGCAACACCGTCTCATAAAGCTCTAATGCAATATAGTTCCCCTATTTAATTTGTCTTTTCTATGTACAGAGGGAAGAGTCATGCTGTTGAGCAAGGGTTTTCATACTGCAGTTTGGTGCAATGTTTATTGAAGGAAGCAGCAAGTACTATCAAGTTACCTATGGGGAACGAAATGTGGGTATGTTATGAATTATAAGCTTGCATTTTTTTTTTCCTGACATTGATCTGCCTTCTATACCAAGAGATAACTTCAGTTATAAGCAGGAATGTAAGGCTCACATTTTACGTTCCCCAAATTGTATTAAAAGGTGAAATATCACTATTTTGAAATGCTTGCCTGAATTGAAATTTGGAGTCAAAGTTTACCCTACAAATAGCTACAATGTCCCCTATCAAAAATCTACTCTATATACTAGTAGCTTTTTCCTGTCATACAGTGTTTTTGCCTTCAGAAATTCTACTAAGATGCATATGCAGGCAGCTTACTTGAAAATTAAAGCCCAACAAAACTCTGCCTTCAGAAAAGTATTATTTTAACCTGAAACATTAAAAAGATCAAGTCTTGCTCTAATGCAGCACTACCCAGTACTGAATATACAGCAACAACGCTCAACTTTTCAGCCAGAGTTTTTACCCCTTCATTATTTTCATCTCCTAGTGAATAATTCTTTGAATTAACAGCACTTGAAATATAATGTAAGTTGAGATTAATTTTGTTCCCTTGAAAGTTAATGTAATAGAAACTATCATATCCTGACAAAATTAAGCTGTGCTTCGTCTGCTCCTACTTGGAAACTGACTCAAAGGTAAAAATAAAATGTATTATTAGTTCAGCAACGAGAAACAGTAAGAGAATTTATGCAGTCATCCATAACCTGAAAGGGGCTCTTCTGACAAGCAAAACTCTTCTCTAGCTACTGGTGTATGGTTGACCAAGAAAGGATATCTCAGCCCAAGAAAGCACACCTCATGCCAACTGAAGGGCTCTTTGAAAAAATCTGCTAGATCCTATGAGACTACTGTGACCAAGGAATCAAGAACATGTGTATATAAGGCAAAAGAACATGTCTTTTATGGCAGGAATTATAAGACATAGTAGGGGAAGAGGGGAAAAAAAAAAGCAAGTGTATCAGAGAGTTAGAGTAAACCTCAAGAACTCTGCAATGCACCAAACACACCAGGATGGCAAAGAAAACAAATTGAAAATTGGGTTCTAGTAGCTGCTCTTTAACTGATTCTCAGTTTAAGAACCTTGCAATCTTGTGAAAGATAATTTCTGAGTGCTTAGAAAAGATTAAGAAGCACATGGTAACACTCATCTTTGAGAAAAACACTGCACAGGTGTCAGCTCATCCTCTATCTTTTTTAAGGCCTTTTAGGTTTGTAAGAGTTTGTAAAGGTTTGTAGGTGAAATGCTGTACTTCTAGACATCTTTGGCCTGCATTTTACCACAGTTGTTTCCAAAAATTCAGCACTAACATACTGCATTTGACTTAAATAAGGCTGATTACAATTAGGATAGGGTTTAAAAATTGGGTCTACGGTCCCACTACCTTAAGATGTTTTGGTGAAAAAAAAGTCAGGCTTGAACATCAACTTTTACCTAAATTTTAATGGAAACATGGATCACCATATTTCTCAGGGTTGTCCAGAGCCTTTTCCAGTTAGGGTACTGGAGCCTAACAATGGAATTCCCTGCTGTTCACTCAGCCACCCAGGAACTCGTATAACCACATACCAAGCCTGCCACAGTCAGCCCTAATAAAAATGTAATGCAAGTCTGTTTACAATCCTCAA